GGAGGAGGAGGAGGAGGAGGAGGAGGAGGAGGAGGAGGAGGAGGAGGAGGAGGAGGAAGATGATGATGATGATGGTTATTAGGCGCCCTCTGGAGGAAGGAAAATGAAAGTACAGGGGACCAGGCCTGAAGCAAATGGAATCCCAATTAAAGCTTCTACGGGTTTATACAGATGAATGATCAACGTTTCTGGTTGGAGCCTTTCCCCAGTGGCTAGTCAGTGAACCCTGGAAAGGAGAATAGATGCTACTTGGAATAGTTACATTCTGAAAAGTAATATTAGTGTCTCAATTCACTTTCTGGTCATGGAAATAGTAACATTTTTAAACTAACATTCTCTCTAACTTTTGTTAAGCCTGAGAATTATCCCTTTGACATATTCACACTGATAATCAAACGTTATGAACGCAGCAAGTTGAGAAATATCAACATTGACACGAGACTCAAGAGACCGGGGCTCTTCTCATAACTCTGACACTAATTTGTCGCGTGGCCATGGGCAAGTCAAACGGCCTTTTCTAAAATGTGAGACAGAGATTAAAGGGACTCCAAGGCCACTTTCCAGCTCTAGGTTTTATGGCCAGACTTTCATGTCATGATAGAATGAAGAAGATCACTCCGTTTTCGTCTTGAAAATGGCTGCCAAAGTACTAGACAGAGATATTGACTAGATGGGGGATGGTAGAGTCTGACCACACCCAGTACTCCAAAAAGTTGCTCCTCCCACATAGCACGGGGTCTACCACCGCATAATTCCTAATGCATTTGTGTGTGAGGGGGGTGGTTCCCCCTTCATTCACTTTTAGTGTACACACTGGATACTAGGGAGTAATTGCAGTGAACCAGTGAACAGATTCACATTACCAAGTTCATATGAGAGCTAAGAGTGGGAGGAAAGAGTGTTGACTCCTAGAGATTAAAATGAAATCAGACTTAGGGAAATTTGAAGGTACAAAGGCAACTTACCTTCTGATCAACAGTCAACCACAGTCTCGAATAAATGTTATCAAACACGCATTCTTCAAAATGGTCCACGTCTGTGTAATTAAAAGGCAAATTTCCAAAATCATAAGGACTTCCGTTAATCAAGTCAGGCATAATTATTCTTCCTACCGATGGACACAGTGAAGTGAACGTATCATTCTTGTAATTTAACAGTAATGCTCATAAATTGCCCTTAAATGTCAGTGCTGGATGTGGTCCACCCTCCTGAATTGTAACTATTGAAACAGATGTTCTCACTTCAAATAACGCACTTTTTGGCCACCTAATGAAAGCAATTTTTAGGGGTGATTCATCCTATTGCAAGCTTGGCCAAACTTGTATCCTGTATTAACCTATAATTTTTATACTGTAGGAGAGGAATTCAATCTTTAAGGACTCATAGCAATTATGGCAAAAGGGAGGATATTACTTTCGTTTATTTTTTCTATTTATTTTTCAAGATCTTTAATCCACAGTTTTTCCATTTATACAAAGCCCTTTCTTAGCGACAAAAATGATACATATTGGTAAAATGACCTTGCCTAATTTAAGTGAATTAATTTAAAGTAAAATTCAGATGTCCGAATTAATTCATTTTCATAGTTAATAATGTGCAATTTAGACCTTTTGAAAAAGGATATTAAGAATGGTACGAAGTCAGTGAAGTACTAGGTAACTTCAATGTTTTATAAAAAATTAAGTCCACTTCAATGTTTCATAAAAAACAAATTCAATATAGAATTTTAAGGTAACATACGTTCCTAAATTTTACCTTTTTTTAGATATTTAGGTATTAAAAACGAATTAAACCATAAATTATTTCTTCATCAATCTACTAATCTTGTCTTACACTCAGTGATTCATCCGTGCACATTACCAGCTTAATTGCTAAGCATTCAAAATTTCCTTCAGACACATTAATATTTCACAGCATTTATAAAATAGTAAATAATTAACAATTTAATTCAAAATATATTTACATATTAATATTGCAAACACATCACCCTGCTGATCCCTGCCATACATTTGACCTGCATAATTTCCAAGTCATCAAAATAGTCTTAATAAAAAATATAATTGTTCCTTTAATTAGGTAACTCAATTTTATTAACATGTGTCTCTATTTGTTAATTATTGCTATTGATCCATGAAGCAATACTAATAATTATTTCTACTTTTTTTTTCTACAGCTTTACAAGAGGTGAGTAAAATTGTTTTTGGAATTTTTAAAAATACTTTGATTTCCGGGCCGGGCGCGGTGGCTCAAATCTGTAATCCCAGCACTTTGGGAGGCCGAGGCGGGTGGATCACGAGGTCAAGAGATCGAGACCATCCTGGTCAACATGGTGAAACCCCGTCTCTACTAAAACTACAAAACATTAGCTGGGCATGGTGGCGCGTGCCTGTAATCTCAGCTACTCAGGAGGTTGAGGCAGGAGAATTGCCTGAACCCAGGAGGCGGAGGTTGCGGTGAGCCGAGATCGCGCCATTGCACTCCAGCCTGGGTAACAAGAGTGAAACTCCGTCTCAAAAAAAAAAAAAAAAACTTTGATTTCCTTGGCTACAGTGGTGTCTTCTCTTGGAAGGGAAGAAGTTACATTAATATTGAACAACCTGGATTCCCAAGAAAATTGTGAAGAATTATGATAGTCAAAACCTTTCTGGCTGCCTTAGAAAGTACCCACCCTATTTTCCAAAATGGGTAGGACTACTGAATAAGGCTACCTTTATAAAATACTCTCAAGAAACATAGAGTAAATAATCCAATAGAAACTTAAGTTTTAGGATAAGCTACTGTGAAGCAGAAGACTTCAGTGAGCTAGAGAATCTTTTCACTCCTTTGGAATCATTTGCAGAAGCATTTATTATGAACACATTCTTAGCTCATGAATTGAATCTGAAGCATAATTACAGATAAGTATTAATATATATATTTGGTTCTGTAGGTACATATTTTTATTTGACTTACCAGTAAAATTTTAAATTGTAGTTTGAAATATTAAACTAAGATAACAGTAAATGTGTAATATAATGTACTGTGAAGGTATATTTGTGTACTACACCAAAATTGAAGCTGTTTTTAAATACAATTTTCTTCATAATAATCTTTTATTTATTCTTTTCTAGGAAACTGTAAGAAAGGTAAGAGTACAACACTTCTTCGTAAATATATAAAATTATCAGGGATAACATAATTTAACTAAATTTATAGTAGACTATAGAAGAAAAATACTTTATCAAGATTTTGCTTACATGAATATGCATTAGCTAAAGCATAAAATAAAGGAGTTTGATGTTTAAGATAACAGTTTTATTATCTTCTGGAATCATCTGTAATTACATTTATGTGATACAAACTGGTGATTTACATACAAAAGAAAAAAAAACTTATTTTATTCTGGAGATGGAAGGCATATTATGTTAATTGTAGGTAGTAAAAAAGCTTATTTTAAAGGGCTTTGACTATATAAATGTGCTGTTAAAAATGTAACAAAATGGTCATTTCATCTACAATTTTCATCTTACTCAAAATGCTGTGCATAGTATTAACTTAATAGCTGGAGACTATGCAGATTCCAGTCCCCAGTTGAAAAAAATTATAATATAATTATAATAAAAAACAATATACTTTTATCTATTGCATTGTGCCAATTTTTTATGTACTATCTAACAACATCGTAGTTAGATCAGTCTTACCAACTAATTACTATCAAGAATGATTTGCTCATTCACTGGAAATTACTTCTTAGACATTTATTATTGTGCTGTTTGTATCTTTCTTGTAGGGCCCAGCTGGAGATAGAGGACCACGCGGAGAAAGGGTGTGTAATGTTTGAACCATAAAGGGCTTTGGCCCATGTTTGAATAACTATGTATTAGAAACTACAGGAACTGGCAATCTATAAGACTATTATATATCCGGATAATTGTATACCCCTTTAAACAGATAATACACTGCAGAAGAGGTGAATGAGCATTATTATATAATCAATATTTGTTTTAGGTCAAAATTATCCCTTAAAAAAGCAAAACTGTTACAGTCATATTCTTTGCATGGTCTGCGTTGTTTGTAATTGACCTGTCCAACACATGCATAATGAAAATGTATCTACCTACCACCACAGTCCTCTTTTTAATATATTTGGTTTGCTTTTGAAGTAAGATCCCTTAGGTAGCTTGGGAATAATAGTGAACAAGTAATCAGTAACATGTTTCTCTGCTCAAATTCATACATGTACAAGTCAGGCTTACATTTTGTTTGTGGCATTGTAAAATCTCCTTGCTATGCTTATTTGACGTTTATAACTACGTGATTTTGCATTATATAACACTTTTGCCAATACATAAATACTTATATCTTATATCTATTAGGGAAGTGGAGACTTACATGTATTCCACTCAAACAATTTATTATAAGTAGAATTATATCAGTTAATTATTTTAACAATACAAGGTAATTAATGGTAGGAAATCTGCAGGATTTTCTATCCTATGATAAAGTGATTTTATTAACTGTCATATCAATTCATCCATTCACATGTAACATACCAAAACAATTGAATAAATTCATCACAGTCAGAGATCAGGAATAAAAATTCAAAGTAAATCCTTGTGCACTGTTAAACATATGAAGCGCACGGAAACATACATTTTGGCTCTAATTTCTACATTTGAATACTGGAGCTTCAGTATGAATTAATATTCAATGGCTGAGACAGTTCTTTAGGAAAACTACCCTGTGATGTCTTGAGAGTTACTAACCCTTTTTGTAAAATAGACTCATAAGTGAATTTCAATCAATGACAAATATAGTATATTCAGTTTCCACCCTACTTTCACATAGAAAGAGCCAAACAACTGATTCCACGGCATATAATTCTAAGGTTTCTACAGGGCCTGTCTAACCATGACCTTATTCACTTTTTACATAACAGGGTCCAC